CAAATCGGTTTTAAGACGTAGGAGGGGGGTGGCCTCTGGGGGAGAGAAAAGATAAAAGAGAGAGAGAGAAGAGAAAGAAGAAAAGAGAGAGAGAGAAGAAAAGAGAAGAGGGGAGAGAGAGAGGGGGGAGGGGGGGGGGGGAGTTCGCGCCCCGCTCCCAGGCCTTACTAAAACCTTCCCCATTTTTTGGGAAGAAAAGGGCCCCCCAGCGTGAGCTGACCACTCTCCACGGGGCCCGGGTTAAAAAAATTAGGCTCCCCTTATTTTCCCCCCTTAAGGCGCAGAAAAGGGACCTAACTTTTATTTCCCCCTCAATGCCGTACGCCTAAAAGCAGTATTTGTATGTGCCCATTTGCCAAAAAATTACCAGACACGATACAGAAATATATTTCTCAGTGTCTTCTCCAGTTTGCATTTGCAATCCTCCATTATCTCTCACTCTCTCTTCCACTCTTTCTCACTCTCTCTCTCTCTCTCTCAATATATATATATATATGGTTTTTCTAGGCAAATTTACGTCCAGTAGTTTACCATTGCTTTCTAGACATCGGCTTTCTTGATACCACTGTCGAAACCAACGCAAGGCGCATGGCCCGCAGCTGGGATCGAATCCGGCATCCCGGCATTTCGGCATTGCGAAGCGTTAGCATCGACTTAGTCACAGAGCCGACATTTATATATATATATATGATCGCCCGTCTCTCTAGCGTAGTCGGCTAAACAGGATTGCGCAGTGCGCGGGTGACGAACTCCTTGTGGTCCGGGTTCACTACCGGGGGTGGGGAGAAAAGCCACATTTTCTCCCAGATTTACAGTATTTAAAATAAAATCAAGGCCGAAAGGTTGCGATATCCATAATACCGAGCCTAAGGGTTAGCAGCTCGTGGCTTCACATACTTAAACAAACAAACAAAAAAACAAACAAACTAGCAAACAAACAAACAAACAATATATGACTCATAAAAAAAAAGTCTAGCATTGTAGGCCCCATGCGCCAGACGTGTAACCTTGACCCTTCACCTTTTAGTTTAAAAAAAAAAAAGGATAATCCATGTCCTATGTTCTCAGCAATATCAACATGACCTACCAGTCTAACCTGAACATCAAAGCCGAACCATTCTCTCCAACTGCCCAGAACGACATCTTGGCAATGGCTGGTTCCAAAACAGTCAGCAGAACCACGACCAGAGGCGGCACTCCGGCTAAACGTCCCAAGAGCGAGACTAGAGAACTTCAGGCGTCCACACCAGAGATCAAAAAGAAGTTGCAGAGTGCAGTTCTGGACCGAAGGAAGGCCAACGGCTTCACGGGCATTCCTAACAATCTGTTTGAGGAGCCAACAGTTTCTCAGGTAAAGCCATGTGGTGTATTTATTGCTTTGCTGATGCTGCTGCTGTTGCTGCTATTTGTGTGGGTTCCTGGGCCCTGTTATAGGAAAAACAAGAACATACCCACTGCCTACCCAAAAAGCATGTCTTAAGAGTCGACTAATTGTCTGAGAGGCAAGGAACCAGCATTCTACATACCAATGAGTCAGACCTGTAAAAAGGATGCACACGCAACACTCGGGTTCTGGGACAGGACTGCAGTCCAGGAGTGGATAAACAACCAGAACTTTCCCCCAGAGTTTACAGCTGGTGAATGCGAAGAAAAAGAAGAAAAAGAAGAAGCTGCTGCTATTGCTACTATTACTCCCCCTCCTTCTACTACCACTACAGCTTTTATTTCTAATGTCACCACCAGGTCTTGATTCTGACTTGATAAGGCCATAAGCTACATAATGCCAGAAAAACTTTAGAAAACTTCAAAATATATACTCCTTTTAAATATTTTGATACTGGAAATATATTGTAGTTTTACATATTTTTAGTTAAACATGAGAAGGGGTGTATGTGCTCCCCCAACCCCGACTCACCCCTCCGAACTAGACATTTTGTAAAAAGGCCGAGCTGCTACTTTTTGACATGTTCTTGTCTTTCTTCGCGTCCCACGGCTTCAGTGGCTGCGGAATATTTGGCTTTTTCGTTTACCTGGACTTCACTCTTTTTCCGAAACTTGATTTTTGCGTGCACATACGTTTTACAGATCTGATTTACTTGTGTGCAGACTGTTGGTTCCTTGCCTGTCATGCATTTTCATTCCTACTTGGAAGGTCACCCCTAATTAGGTGATTGTTACGACACGCTTGTTAGGGAGGCAGTGGGTCTATTTCCACCGCCTAGACGGGAGAGGGACAACAAGAACAGTATGTAAACAATGCCTTAATGTACTTGTACATGGTATATTACTACAAGGCGGTTCTTGGAAAAAGTGGGTGAGCAAAAAGCTGGGTAAAAGGTGGATGGGTGGGGTGGGGGCGTTGTTGACTAGAGGAACCTGAATGCCCAGGTTTTGCCTCCCTCATTTTTGTTGCAGTCAACCCTGCACACAACCATTGTTGGTTTCAGTAACTTTTTCAGTGGTTTTTTGATCCAGAAACCATGAGTTGTGAACCCTTTTGCTCGGTACTATGGATATCGCCTCCTTCCTTCCTTCCTTCCTTCCTTCCTTCCTTCCTTCCTTCCTTCCTTCCTTCCTTCCTTCCTTCCTTCCTTCCTTCCTTCCCTTCTTCCTTCTTCCTTCCTTCCTTCCTTCTTCCTTCCTTCCTTCTTCCTTCCTTCCTTCCTTCCTTCCTTCCTTCCTTCTTCCTTCCTTCCTTCCTTCCTTCCTTCCTTCCTTCCTTCCTTCCTTCCTTCCTTCCTTCCTTCCTTCCTTCCTTCCTCCTTCCTTCTTTCCTTCTTCCTTCCTTCCTTCCTTCCTTCCTTCCTTCCTTCCTTCCTTCCTTCCTTCCTTCCTTCCTTCCTTCCTTCCTTCCTTCCTTCCTTCCTTCCTTCCTTCCTTCCTTCCTTCCTTCCTTCCTTCCTTCCTTCTTCCTTCCTTCCTTTCCTTCCTTCCTTCCTTCCTTCCTTCCTTCCTTCCTTCCTTTTCCTTCCTTCCTTCTTCCTTCCTTCTTCCTTCCTTCCTTCTTCCTTCCTTCCTCCTTCCTTTCCTTCCTTCCTTCCTTCCTTCCTTCCTTCCTTCCTTCCTTCCTTCCTTCCTTCCTTCCTTCCTTCCTTCCTCCTTCCTTCCTTCCTTCCCTTCCTTCCTCCTTTCCTTCCTTCCTTCCTTCCTTCCTTCCTCCTTCCTTCCTCCTTCCTTCCTTCCTTCCTTCCTTCCTTCCTTCCTTCCTTCCTTCCTTCCTTCCTTCCTTCTTTCCTTCCTCCTCCTTCCTTCCTTCCTTCCTTCCTTCCTTCCTTCCTTCCTTCCTTCCTTCCTTCCTTCCTTCCTTCCTTCCTTCCTTCCTTCCTTCCTTCCTTCCTTCCTTCCTTCCTTCCTTCCTTCCTTCCTTCCTTCCTTCCTTCCTAACTTCTTTTCTTCCTTCCGAACTTCTTTTCTTCTTTCCTGCCTTTGTTGTATGTGTTAACCATACATTATTGTGTTGTTGACAGCTAACAAAGGCCGACATAGAAAGACGGGAGAAACGGAAAGAGCAGAACAGAAAAGCTGCCAAGAAATGTAGAGCTAAGAAGAAGGAGCTTCAAGACAAGGCTGAGAAGGTATTTAATTCCCACAACTGATTGTATAATGCTTGTTATCTCACAATACATGTGCGCACTTTGGTTGTTGTGCAAGCCAGTGTTAACATGCCGTTTTCATCAACTGCATTAAGCGCAAGTGTTAGCGAATGCTGTTTTTATGCATTAAGCGCATGAACTACCATGGGCGTAAGTGTTAGCGAAATGATGTATTTATGAACTGCCAAGGGCGTCAGTATTAGCGAATGCTGTTTTCATGAACTGCCATGGGCGTCAATATTAGCGAATGCTGTCTTTATGAACTGCTATCGGCGTCAGTATAGCGAATGCTGTCTTTATGAACTGCTATCGGCGTCAGTATAGCGAATGCTGTCTTTATAAACCGCCATGGGCGTCAGTGTTAACGAATGCTGTTTTCTTTAACTGTCATGGGCGTAAGTGTTAACGAATGCTGTTTTCTTGAACTGCCATGGTCGTAAGTGTTAACGAATGCTATCTTTATCAATTGCCATGGGCGTAAGTGTTAACGAATGCTGTTTTCTTTCACTGTCATGGGCGTAAGTGTTAACGAATGCTGTTTTCTTTCACTGTCATGGGCGTAAGTGTTAACGAATGCTATCTTTATCAACTGCCATGGGCGTCAGTGTTAGTGAATGCTGTCGTATCGACTAGTGTGAGCATTCCTTTAGTGATCTTTTTTTTTTTTTAAATCATAATTTTTTATTTTAAATCTAATTTTTTTTTTGTAAATCAGCTAGTCTGAACTCTAATGTTATTTAACGCTGTAGTTTAGGAACTGATGTGAAAGTTCGTAGCAGTTAACGCACATATTAATTTTTTTTTTTAAATCAGCCAGTGTCAACGTTAATGTTAGTTTCTTTCTCAAAAATGAAATGTGAATCTGTTGTTGGCAAACATCGTCTTTTATAAACTGTCGCGAACGTTAGTGCTGGCGAATGTTGTGTTTAATTAATAGTGCTATGATTGTTTTTTAAGTAACAGCACATTTTACGTGAATGTTTTGTTCATCTTTAAAATGTAGGCCTTCTTTGTGTACGGCGTACATGATTTTTATTTTTCTTTGCATAAAGTCAAAACATGATACATTTTATTTTAAAATGGAAACAAAATAAAATGTATTTATTTGTGTACTTCCTTTTTTCTGCAGTAAATGTTCAAAACCTACTGTATAGTAAATAAGAAACATTTATAATATACTGTACAAATGGTGAAACTATGGGGGTGACTGCAGTTGAGTTTGAAAAAGGCTGCCCGGCCGAAACCTGTTGTTTTCTGAACGTTTTCCTCTTTCCCATTTTGTTGAGCTTTTTAGTCAAATTTCTTTTCAATTTCAATAGTTTGTACAAATAGGTCAGAAAGTATCCATACGAGCGATGTTTTGAATGAAAAGGATGTTTTTAATTTTATGGGAGCATAAACACTGAGCATTTTTAGAACTCCGGCATATCCGGCTTTGTTGTGATCCAGCCCACGCTTTCGCCACGTTAGGCTGGATATTGCAGAATCTACTCTACTTCAAAGAAAGGGTTAGATAGCAGCAGGCATGTCATAATCTCATCTGTATTGTACTTGATTGTCGACATCTTCCAACTTGATCAGATTGTCAGTTGTTACTTTTACTTGCAGGAGACCGCCCAGTACGCTGAATCCAACGTGATAATGCAGCGGCGTTTGTATCTTATGTACCAGAGACTGTGTGCACTGGCTATGTGTTTCAGCCAGCACCTCGACTGTGGCGACTGCAGAGTTCCCGTTGAGGCAAAAGAGAAAGATCGACAGTTCATTTCTGAGACGATCAAGTTTCTAGAATCTTGCACTAAAGTAGGTGTACCAGAAGAGGAGCAAGCTTCTTTTGCAGAGTTTAGTACTGATCACAATGATACGTCTCAGCTTTCCTCCATCAGTGACAACTACACCAGCAACAGCGAGGCCGTCGAGCACCACCTACTTTAACGTGTCACTGGATACACCAGCCCTGCCCAGTCTCGCTGAGTTAGGAAACCTGCCTAGCTCGGACCTGGCAGACATCAACCCCGACATTCCTCTGTATACTTTCCCCAAAATGGACACAGACGAGTCTCCAAGATCAGCTGATGTCCTCAAACCTGCAGCCGACTCACAGAACAACTACGACCAACAGGCGACGTTTAATAATCTGTATCTGTCTCCAATCGCAAATAATGTGTTCATCCATGGGCTAGCGTCAGCAACAGAATTGACATGTTTCAAAACCCAAAAGACAGCTGGCGTTCATGAAGTAGATACTATATGTGCCTTGAACTCAACCAGAGCATCCGACCTGCACGACAGACTGGTCACCAGCATTGAGTTCAGAGACAGCCGACCTTTCGGCTTGGTTACTTCCCCAAACTTTGTTCAGCCAAATCTCTCAAGCCTCAGATCTGTCCCAAGTCTGATTATATCAGAAACAATCCACAGAGATGTTGGCATTTGCCTCCATGCCATGGATAAACAGTACCAGGTTAGTGCGGACGTTAACAACAATGGACGAAAGCAAAGCCCAGCAGCTAGAAAAGAAGAAAACTATAATGTATGTGTGGATTACCCTGATATAGACAGCAACCTGTCACAGAATCACTCCGACATATCATCCGGTAGTTTACCAGCCTACTTCACATTTGAGGGCGACCAGTCAAGTCCACAGGCTACGGGGCCATCAGGCGATGAGCCTAATTCGCCCTTTTTCACTCAAGGGGGTAGTCGTCGTATGTAAAATATGAGGGTAATATTTTGTGACCGGACCTGACAGTAGCAGGCATGGTGTCAGTACAACAACAGGAGATTGAGATTGCCAGATTTAAGCGCAGTCCGACATCATATCGTCACTTCCTCTTTGAACTCTTCTGGTATCGAGGGAGAAAGAAGGTTGTGATCCTGGCTGGTCGGATAACTTCTACTAAAGATACCTGATATCGTGTATAGTTTTTCAAATGTTTGGCTTTTAAATCATGTACTTGGTCTACCTCAGACTTTACCTCTCTCTCTCTCCTCTTTGATACGTGCCATGGTGGTATGCTGCATAAAGCATTCTCTCTAACTGGGCTAACAATTGATGCGCTGTATTTGTATACAATGATGTACTACTGGTTCTAGGGATGTTTCTGCTGACCTTATTCGATTGCATAGTCTTTAGATACATTGAATGTGTTGGTGGAAATTTTCATTACAATGTTTTTTTTTTTTTTTTTTTTAGTGCGTTTAACCTTGACATTGTTTCGTTTATTTCTTGCCGACAATATATCGAGTTTTAATACACTTTCGAGAGAGTAATTAACTCTTTCACTCGGTGACCCATTGAATAAAGGGGGATTAAATTAACTTGGGATGTCCCGTTTTGAGCTCAAAATAATAACAGAATTCCCGTTTCAGCTCAAGATGGTATGATGACAACATTCAGTACCAGTTCACAGAGAAACTTCTGTATAGAAGTGACTGGCATAACATAATTCTTAAGGTTCGGGGCAGACGTGCTAATAAATGCTTTGCAATCAATACAAAAGTAATTCTGCAATATTCACTTTTAGCTTTGATGTTTCGGTTCCATTCTGTGTGTTATATAAGTTTTCCTTTTTAAATACTAGTGGTACTATTATTATCTTTGTTCGTATAGTGCTCGCAGCGTTACTGTACTGTTAGTGCATTGTTACTGCACTGTTAGTGCAGTGTTACTCTACTGTTAGTACAATGTTACTGTATTGTTATGTTGACATTTTTTCTCTCTCATTTAATGGCTGGAAAATTGAATATAATGTAAACAGCAGAAATGCGGTTTCTGAGAAGAATGCAAAGAATATCGTCGAGGGATCGAAAAACAAACGAAGCAGTCCTCATGCAGGGCAAAGTTACTTTATCGTTTGTGTAGAGTTACTTTACCGTTAGTGCAAAGTTACTGTACTGTTTTTTTCCCCTTTCAATTTGGATTTGTTCTGTCTGGTATGTGTCATGTCCGCCACTTATGTCAGAGTCCAGTTCTCGTGCTTTGACCTCGTGCTTTAAACTTGACACAATTTTGTTTTGTTGACAGTTTTTTTTTTTGGGGGGGGGGGGGGGGGGGGGGGGGGGGGGGGGGGGGGGTGGGGGGGGTGGGGGGGGGGGGGGGGGTCGTTGTTTGGGGGCCACTATGTCAGGTGTCCAGTTGCTCCTTTAATGACTGGAAACATAGGACATAATGTAACACAGCAGAGATGTGATTTCTGAGAAGAATGCAAAGAATATCACGAAAAGATAGGGGGGTGGGAGCAGTCATCATGCAGGGCAGAGAACTGAAAGTGGTCAACTTGTTCGAACGGATTGAGGGGTGGGAGCAGTCCTCATGCAGGGCAGAGAACTGAAAGTGGTCAACTTGTTCGAACGGATTGAGGGGTGGGAGCAGTCCTCATGCAGGGCAGAGAACTGAAAGTGGTCAACTTGTTCGAACGGGATTGAGGGGTGGGAGCAGTCCTCATGCAGGGCAGAGAACTGAAAGTGGTCAACTTGTTCGAACGGATTGAGGGGTGGGAGCAGTCCTCATGCAGGGCAGAGAACTGAAAGTGGTCAACTTGTTCGAACGGATTGAGGGGTGGGAGCAGTCCTCATGCAGGGCAGAGAACTGAAAGTGGTCAACTTGTTCGAACAGATTGAGGGGTGGGAGCAGTCCTCATGCAGGGCAGAGAAGTGCAAGTGGTCAACTGGTTAGAACGGATTGGGGGGTGGGGGAAGTCCTCATGCAGGGCAGAGAACTGAAAGTGGTCAACTGGTTAGAACGGATTGGGGGGTGGGAGCAGTCCTCATGCAGGGCAGAGAACTGAAAGTGGTCAACTGGTTAGAACGGATTGGGGGGTGGGAGCAGTCCTCATGCAGGGCAGAGAACTGAAAGTGGTCAACTGGTTAGAACAAGTAGACGTAGACAGTCAATGTTTGTGGACATGATTGAAAAAGGGTTGGACTCGAGAACTTGGCTCCTTGTGTGGATTCCGGCTCCCAATATGGAGAAAACAAATATAGACCCACCACCCCAACGTCAAGCATGTCGTAGAAGTAAAGTAGTTTAGTACTTTCTTCAGAGTTGGAATGCATCTGTCCAAGCGGCAAGGAACAACTAGCTGCACACAAATGAGCCAGCAAAACGGATGTGCACGCAAAACTCACCCCCTGGCACAATGCTGAAGACCTAATGGGCGTACAACCAGGACAGCCGGTGAACAAAGAAGGAGAAGAAAGTGAAAGTAACCACTGACAAGACTGATGGAAAGATAGCAAGAGAAAGGCTAAGAGATAAATGCCTAAGAAGGCCTGGCCAGATCGGTGAGGCGAGACAAGCACATTGAACTGATCCTTGAGTCTGGTTGTCGTGTGAGATGGCGAAACATGACAACCTACGCTTACCTGCACGGCATATGATGATGCTGATGATGAAATAGCAGTGTTGCCCAGTTGTCAATTCCAGCTATTTAATATAAACCAAACAGCCCCCCCCCCTTTTTTTTCACAACCCCTTTTTTCTATTTAATGAGCTTAGTTATTTAATACCCAATAAAGAATTTAGCCTGGACGATCTCACTTCTCCATTTGCTCAGTTTATGTTTACGATATCACTTCTCTATTTGCTCAAGTTTATGTTTACGATCTCACTTCACTATTTGCTCAGTTTATGTTTACGATCTCACTTCTCTATTCGCTCAGTTTCTGTTTATGATCTCACTTCTCTATTTGCTCAAGTTTATGTTTACGATCTCACTTCTCTATTTGCTCAGTTTCTGTTTACGATCTCACTTCTCTATTTGCTCAAGTTTATGTTTACGATCTCACTTCTCTATTTGCTCAGTTTCTGTTTACGATCTCACTTCACTATTTGCTCAGTTTATGTTTACGATCTCACTTCTCTATTTGCTCAGTTTATGTTTACGATCTCACTTCTTTATTTGCTCAGTTTATGTTTACGATCTCCCTTCTTTATTTGCTCAATTTATGTTTACGATCTCCCTGTCTTGTGGAAATATGGCGGCGTCCATAAAATGGTGTAAGTGAATATCAAATTAGCTGTGTAACTAAACTATGTATTACAACCTAAGGGTTTGTGATAACCCAAGAACGAAAAGGTCTTTTCTTGTAGGTTTTTATTTTTACTTATATGGGGTAAGTTAATTTTACTTACTTTACTTACTTAGTCGCTCCTCTTCTACCTTGGGGTGTAGAGGTTTGCCAGAGAGATCGCCAGACGTCTCTATCAGCAGTTTTCTTTCTGGCATTGTTCCATTCCAGTCCTCTGTCAGTTAGGGACCGTCGGATGTTGTCTCCCCAGCGCACCCTGGGTCGTCCCGGAGGTCTGGTTCCCTGGTTCTTAGCCTCCTATGCTTACCATGGTGGCCGATTTTCTCCCATTCTGCACACATGTCCAAACCATCGTAACTGTGACTGATCCACTCGGGTTAGTAAGGGCTGGGTATCAAGATCTTGACGTATTGTCTGATTGCGGACTTTGTCCCTTCTTGTCACTTGGACCACCTTTCTCAGGTATCTCATTTCCGAGGCCTAAGTTAATTTTAATTTGCTGTATTTATAAAGTTAAAGGGGAGCAGCTGATTGTTGTCGTCTGCTTCCTTGCCACCAGGGTTCGAAGTTAGAAGTAGTTTAGAAAATCCAAACAGTGAGGATTATCACCAGACAATGATATGTCTTACCTTCTGATGTCATGACATCGATTCCATGATCACCAATTATAATGTTTTTGTTTTCAATTTAAAAAAAATTATGTTTACCATCTCCTTTTTTTTTTGTTCCTTAGTTTATGTTTACGATCTCCGTTCTCTATTTGCTAACTTTATGTTTCTCTGTTTGCTCAATCTATGTTGTTAATTTTTAATTTGCTGTAATTATATATTACTTGACTGTTTTTAAAACTTACAAGCAGTTGCCAGTTTTCCTGGGCAAACTGGGCCGATTTTTTTTGTGTG